CAGGGGGTCACCCCTCGCAAAAGCCCCCAGCCCGGGGGCACGGCCCACCCCCGTACACGGCAGAGCGTGAGCGCTGGGCGCTGGTTTGGGGGGCAGCGAGCGCAGGGCAAACGCCTGTGAGATTAGCGGGGAGCCCAAGGAGACCGGTGGGGCCGGGGGGGCAAACGCCTCCCTTGCGAAAAGCTGTTGGAAACCTCCCCCGCGATGAGCCAGCTTGAGGGGCGCGCGCCCCCGGCAGCTGGGTGGTGGCAGAGGTGGCGGCTGTCTCCGCACCGCCGTCCTCTGCCCCGCAGCGAACCCAGTCCTGGGGCAGCCCTGGCCGACGCTGGGGCCGCACAGGGCCTGAACGCTGGAGGGACGAAGGTGGCTTTTAATATCTGCCGCACCTCCTGGCTGCTCAGGTCAGCGCCTGGCCCTTGTCCCTTGTCCCATGATTGCAAAATGCTGCTCCCTGAATCGTCGGTGCCCGCTCCTAAATCACCCCGGGTTTCTCTGGCGTCCTCCCAACCGTTTCCAATCGCCCCCTCTTTCTGAGACCAGCAGGTCCAGCAAGATCGGGAGGCAGCACATTGGTTTGCGAGCGCAGATCGCTGGAGCAAGAGGCCAGCTCTTTTCTGACGGTTGCCGGTTTGTGCAGACTTGGGGTAAGAGACTTCACTTTTCTTTGCACCTATTTCTCCAACTGCACAACACGGCTAATAATCCTCATCGATGTGTGCAGGGCAGGTTGCGATCCTCGAAGCGAGGGCACCGTTATAATCACAGCCACTGCTTAGGATCATTGTTCAGACCCGCTGTTCTCCCCAGCTGAACCATAAAAAAAAAAGCCTTATTTTTTTTATCCTTAAAATCCTCACGTCTTGAGGTTGGTGCCGGTGTTTCTGGGCAGAGAGGCTTATGGCTGCTTACTAATAAAAATGGGGCAGCAGCGCGCCCTCGGCATCTCAAACATAAATACAGAAGCGTTCATTTAGAATCAATTTGGGGAGGTTTCAGACTGTAAAGTTCTTTTAACTAGATCTCTGGCGAGGACAGGCGAGCGCTTTATGGGACTGTAAATTTCAGGCGAACCGTCTCAGGGAAATACACGTTCCCCCTACACCCGAGCTGTTCCCTTGGTATCAATCATGAGCCCAGCAAGTAACGTTTCACAAATATTCTGTAAATCACGGGGACCCGCTCGTGATAATGTGAAATATGACTTTCACTTGACTGTTTCACCAAAGGCTCCTAACAGGCCATTCTCCTGTCAGCACTAACATTTGTTATGGCTAATAACACTTTCAATCACAACTATTTTGGGAAAATGGATTTATTTTAAAACTTCTCTCCCCTCAAAGGAGATCCTGAAAAAAAGTCTGCCAAGGACACAGACTCCTACAAACCGTAGCCCATTAATTCCCTAATGAAATGCCAACTCCTCCTAATTCCCCAGCATCATTTCTTCATCCAACTTTTAAACGATTCTTTTCAGAATGTCCTGAGCTCTATGTCACTGTGTGCAATCCAGTCCAGGCAATGGTGATGGAAAGTCACCCCTGTGCAGGTGTCTGGTGGCTTTTATGAATGAACCAGAGATTTCGGACTGGTTCCCGGGAGCTGTATCAGATGCTTTACAGGCTGGGTATTGGTGTTCTAGCAGACACAACCTCAACAGAAAGGAGCAACTCATACCTTGTCCAGGCAGGGCTTTGCTTTGCCAATTAATTTGCTTCTAAATTGCATCTGAATTTAAACCTTCAACTTCCTGGTGCAGACAAAGCCTCAGTCAGAGGGGTCGAGGCTGAATGAGATAAATGAGGAACCGTACTTTTTTTCCCCTCAAGGATGAGGCACAGTGCCAATTTAAGGTGCTTTAGCCCAATTTAAGGCACATTAAGGGCATGTGTCTACATGTGCGTGCCTTTAATATGGCTTAAAAATGTCGATTTTAGGCTATTTGTGCCTAAATTTGATACCTGCAAAAGCACAAATTTAGGTTCAAATAGCTAAAGAGCCTTAACGCACGTGTAGATGTGCTAAGGCGCACTAACACCATGTACATTAACTAACTTTAGTCCCAACTTGGTCCACACACCACATTAATGCGCCTTAGTGTGTGCACATGTAGATGTGTGCCTAAATCTCCCTAATGTGCATTAGGCAAATTAAGCACATGTAAAAGCACGTATAGACAGGCCCAGAGGGAACTGTACTGTATTGCAACCTGAGTTATCCCTTTATAAACACCTGTGTACAAGACCAGGTTTAAGCTTTAAGCTGAAAGTCAAGACTGTTGGTGCTGGCAGGATTGGAGCTGAGTAAATAGAGGACTTCCAATTCCGGGGCCATCAATGTGACACTTTCTACAAATACTACTTATGCTGTAATGTGTAGAGGCAGGAATAGGGAAATCAAACAAATGGGTCAATGACCATTCAGCAAAGTGGGGATCGCTATGCTCAAGGTCCCTGGGGAGCTGGGGTTCCCTGCAACATCCCCATTCCTTGGGTATGTTCATTATTGCTGCCCTTTTTCCCCAGTTTATTTAAGACCGGTGAAAGCTCTGGGCACAGGTTGGGAAATTAGCTGATAAAACAAACCAGTGCAAGCATGGGGGAGGTGATCCTCCCCCTCTATGCGGCACTAGTCAGGCTGCAGTTGGAGTACTGCATCCAGTTCTGGGCCCCGCACTTCAAGAGGGATGTGGACAGCATGGAGAGGGTCCAGAGGAGGCCACTCGCATGATCAGGGGACAGCAAGGCAGGCCCTATGAGGAGAGGCTACGGGACCTGAACCTGTTCAGACTCCAAAAGAGAAGGCTGAGGGGGATCTAGTGGCCTGTTATAAACTAGTCAGGGGGGATCAGCAGGCATTGGGGGAGTCCCTGTTCCCCTGAGCACTGCCAGGAGTGACCAGGAATAACAGTCACAAGCTGGCAGAGGGTAGGTTTAGGCTAGATATCAGGAGGCGCTACTTCATGGTTAGGGCAGCTAGGATCTGGAACCAACTTCCAAGAGAAGTGGTGCAGGCTCCTACCCTGGGGGTTTTTAAGAGGAGGTTAGATGAACACCTTGCTGGGGTTGTTTGACCCCAGTACTCTTTCCTGCCATGGCAGGGGGTCGGACTAGATGATCTACTCAGGTCCCTTCCGACCCTAGAAACTATGAAACTATCTAAAATGCAAAGTTTCCCCCTTTTATCGTCATATCTCTGCACATCTCTACTCCCATTTCCCTGCTTCCTCTCCAGTAGAGCCAGGCATGTGATACAATAACCTTATTCCAAGGCTGGCAAGCAATAGAGACTAAGATCAGCAACATCAGGTGTCTTATTAACGTAGGAAAGAGGGAATGCTATCATGGAGATAGTTGGTGGCCAAGTCAACAGACCTGGAGTCTACTCCCAGTTTTGTTACAGATTTGTTATGCAGCCTTGGGCAGTCGAGTCAATCTCTCTGTGCCTCAGTTTCCCCTTTGATACAGTGGGGGTAGTAACAGGGGCAAAGGAAACTGCAAGATTAAGTAATGGTTGCCAACTCTAATCAGTACTGGTCTTATTTGTTTGTACGGACTACTTTTCTCCTCCAGGGTCCTGTAACCCCTCTCTCTCGTACACCGCCGATCATGACTTCCGCAAAGGAGCAGGTGGCCATCGGCAGGCTGTTAGCCTTCCTGCAGGAATGGGACAATGCTGGAAGAGCTGCCCGGAGCCACATCCTGGACAACTTCATTGAGGCAAATCAAGGCAAGACAGGGCTGGAGTTGGAGCTGGAATTCTTGCAGGGAGCCAGCCTGTTCCTGGCTCGCCTGACAGCATGGCTCCGGCTGTCGTATCTCTTTCCTTGGGAATATGGCAAGGGGTGGGAAGGGGAAGGAATGAGGATTGGGGTAGACACTCCCTGTGCAAGAACAGCCATGTCCAGTTGGGTTATTTTGGGCTGCTAACAGCTGGAATCTGGGGGCAATTCTGTCCTGATGCTATTAATGTAACCCAGCTCCTACTGCCAAGGTCATTCTGGGTTGCCCTACAGGTCTCCATTTCTCTTCCTCTCTCCTTATACAGCCCACATTGGAGTACCTCAGCCTTTTAATCAAGGGCCAAATGCAGGCTCCCTGGCCAGCTCGCTGATGCTAAGGGGAAGGAATTGCCCCAGCTCAGGGCTGGCCATGCTGCCTCTGCAGCGGTTTGTGGGACAGCAGGCTTGCGGAGTGAGAGCCTGTGCTCCCTCCCCAGGATTGGGTCCCCTGTGGTGTGGGACCTTGCATGGCCATGAGCAGGCTTGGTGACCATGAGAATGAACTCCTTAACATCGCCAAACAGTTACATGAATGGAACATGCTTAGACCAGCTGCTGAAGGCCATAGGCATCTTTTTATCTGCTGCAAGTGGGTGAGTATCACACATCCTCCATGAGGTATGTTTGTTTGCCAGAATTACAGCAAATTGGGGTACAGGCTGTAGCAAGGATCCTGAGGGATTAGCCCTGATTCCATACTATAGGGATGTCAAACTCACCTGGGCGCATGGACCAGATCCAGAGCTCAGAATGGGTCTGTAGGCTGGATCCAGAATACAGGCTGCTTACAGGGCTGGACATCTGGCAGCAGCAGCATTAATTGCTGCATTTCCTGGAGCTGCCACACCTCACATCATCACATTTCTGTGCCTGTGGGCCACATGACAGCTCCACACTCTGGATTTGGCCTTCAGGGCCCCCCAGAGGGCTTGGAATTTGTCAGTGGGACAGGTGGAAGCAGTATTCATTGCTTCAGGAGCCATGACAATGAACACTGTTAGTGCTCATCCCATCACCAAATTTCTGACCCTGTGGGAAACCCTGTAGGCTGGATGACACAGCTCCACAAGCCATATCTTGGACACCTCTGCTTTACTACTAGGGCCATGTCCAGGAAGGGGCAGTTGTCTTGGGCCAGTGCTTTTGAGCTCCCAGGCTGAAGGCAGGATTTTCTCATCCCCTCTGCCTGTCTCTAGATCCCTTCTGTCAGGAGAGACCCACCCACAGACTGGTGGTGTAGGTGGATCCATTCTGAATTGGGCTGTGGGGCATGAGAAACCAGCTCGTGGAGCTCAGAAAACTTGGTTCCACCCTTGAACGAGAGGAGTCAGTCATGTGGAAGGTGCTGGACTTACTATTTCACACAAAGCTGGGCAAAAGCCAGGGTAGTGTCTGTTTGCCAGGAATACTTTTTTATGCCGTATTACACTCCACGCTGTATTTTATGCTGCTCCCCATGTTAATTGTTCAGTGAATCCTGCATGTTCCCCAAGCACAGTCCGATCGTTGTCCTCAGATGGTGGTCTGACAAACATCTTCGTGATGGAGATGCACAGGTTCTCCATGTATATTGTTCAGATTTGAATGTGGTCACTCAGAGGAAAATCTCACCTGATCTGTTGGGGGCACAGCACATTTCCAGGTGGGGCATTTGCACTGGGGCTCCAGGCCGCCTTTGCAGTGACCAGTCCTCTTCCTCCGGGAGATTAGACGCAAGGAGAAACAGGGCAGTACAATGAAAGTTGCCAGTAATATGAAGAGCTGAGGAAAGAAGATTTTTTGTTATAACCAGTGACTGTTTCTGTTTTGTCGCCCTCATCTCTGCAGCCATAGGTACCTCATCGAATTTCTGGAGGTTGGAGGTGTCCTGACTCTCCTGGAAATATTAGGGTTGAGCCAACTAAAGGAAGAAGACAAAAAAGAGTCAATAAAGCTACTTCAGCTAGTAGCAAATGCTGGCAGGAAGTATAAGGAGCTCATTTGTGAGAGCTATGGTAGGTGTCAGGCGCCACATGTATTTGTTATCAGTCAAGCATTTAGGCACGGATCTTCTCTCTGGCCTCCAGACCCTTTGTTGCTCAAGCAGAGTCCTTGTACTGGAAGATTATTTTAGAATTTGTTCTTGTTGGAAGGAGTCCAGAGTTTCAGCCATTGCAGAGTGTGCACGTTTCATCCCCCTTCTCATTTTTTAATGAGCCTACTTTGCGCTAGTTTTCCTTTGATGCATTACAGCAGTTGCTCTGGTTGCAACTATAGTTAGGGTTACAAAGCAGTTTCCCTTATAACCTGCTGGGTTCACGTACTCCTAACCTTCCCCAGCTTTCCCTCTTGGGGTGAATATTTTTATATTTGACATCTGTTGAAAGATCATTAAAATGACTTTTTTTTCTGGACAGTGAAAGCGAAATCTCTTCCCTTGGCTTGGAGTTTTGAGAATTAAAAAAAAAAAAGCCCTGCTTTTCCCACTGTAAAAGGAGCCCATTAGTGCAATCAGTGACAGATACCTGCCGTTTGAAACCGCTTCCTCAGTAGCAAGATGAAAATGACTGAACCAGTCAAGGGGTGCTCAGAGGACACAGCTGGCGTCATTAGAGGCAGGTTCTTTGCTGGTATACATGCACGCATTTCCATTGACATCCGTGGAGTTTTGCCCCTTGGCACCAGCAGAGAACTTGGCTCCATTGTATTTTAAAATCAATGTAGTAACTACTGATACACTCCCAAGAATAAACTCCCCACCTCCACTCCCCAAGCAGTAATTAAAATGGGACGGAGTATTTGTTCCTTTCTTGATATCAGTAAAGTGACCGGGCTACTGACCAAACTCAGATGAATAACCACTTGGGCTAATTTTCTTTTCAGCTGTGTGACTCAGAGAATCTTTTCATACACAGGTGTGCAATCGATAGCTGAGTTCATGGCCAGTTCCAAGTCAGAAAAGACTCAGAGACAAGTGCAGATTCTGCTGGACTCCTTAGGCCACGGCAATCCCAAGTACCAGAACCAAGTGTACAAAGGCCTCATTGCTCTGCTGCCCTGCACCTCCCCGCATGCCCAGCAGCTGTCCCTGCAGACTCTCAGGGTTGTGCAGGTGAGTGGAATGGAGCGTGGGACAAAGTTCAGCCCCAGGTCTGACGTTACCAGAACGCCTGTTCCGCCATGAGTCTGTTATAAACAGGAGGCAAAAAATGTATGGAAACCCTGCTGGCGTTCTAAGACCTGGGAAGAGCTTATTGAACAGAGAAGCCTGAAATAAAACCAGCTCTCTGGGGCATCTACACATACACCTTAATGATCATTAGCTTATTTTAACGTGCATTAAAGCATTACTAAAAAAACTACGTTCTTTAGTTAATGTGCATTAAAATAGGCTAATGTGCTTTGAAACATCGCTAAAAAAATGGCTGTAGTTAATGCACATTAAGATAAGCTAATGCGTATTTTCCTAGTACTTCACACTGGAGGGTGTCTACATGTGCATGTTAATTTAATGTGCATTCAAATGTCACAGAAAGGTACTCTCTAGCTACTGCACATTAAAACAGACTAATGCACCTTTTTCTAGTACCTCATTGTGGCGGTCCTAGATTTAATGCGCATTACCTAGAGCTTATTAATGAACGTGTAGACCCATGGAGGTATTGGATTTAGTGTGCATAACTAAAGCACGTTAATGCATGTGTAGACGCGCCCACTGTTTTGTAACTCAGCTGTAGGTGTCCAGGGCTGCGCACCCGATGTGGATAAGGCCATACCAATGTGAAGCCTGCATGCTAAGGTTATACTGGAGAAGGCAGTTGTGGAGCACGTATCCTTTTGTGTTCAGCCACGTGATGTTAACCCAGAGCATGGGCTTTGAGTTCCCACACATTTCCACGCAGCACTGAGAGCACTCTGAAAGGAACTGAGATGCCTAGCGCTCTTTTCTGCCTGATTTGAATAATGACATAATGAACAGCTCCCCCCCGGCCCATTTTCATGTCAGGCTCTGACCTCCAAGGCTGTGCATAAGCTGAGTGCTCCACTGAGATCTAACATTTTGCTTTTGAATATACTGAATGGAGACGATGCTTTATCATTCCCCGTCTCCTCTTGGCTGTTACTTCTTATGAAAGGCGAGCATGAAACTGCCTTGTATTATCCTGGCTTTAAGAGAGTAAAACCCAGTCTTAAACTCAGATCATGCCCTCACTACCTGGAGAAGCCCAGCTGTTATCAAAGGAAACTGTAAGTCGGGATTGAGCATATGGTCTGTAGTGCTTCAGTCTTAAATCCTGCATTTCCCAACCTGGATTATTGACCCTTGAACTTAAAGCCTGCATCAGTAAGAAAGTGTGTGCAGAGACAGAGCCACTGGCAGGTTCAGGCTGTCCCAGAGCATCAGTGGGGCTAAAACCAGTTTAATTCCAGGGCTGATTAGTCCTAGCATCAAAACAGGGGTGGGAAAGTCATTTACACATGAGGCTGAAATGGAGTAAAAGTTGCAGGATTGTGCCCTGGGTCCATTTCCCTTGTGCCACAGCACAGCCAGCTGTTTAGCTCCCTGCCAAACCCAGATGAATATCTCACTGAGCTACAGACCTGCAAACCCCAAGGAATTAACAATCCACCTATTCCTTTGCTACCAGGTGATTGTGGGGAAGAGCCACCCCAGCATCGTGGAGGCCGTGCTGGGCGTGCTGCGCTCCGTGGAACTGGAAGTCCAGTACGAAGGTAGGAGATGTCCCAGCATTACCACCCCCGGGGCAATATGCCTACAGGAGAATTGTCCTTTTGATCCACTTGCAGGGTGATTCTCATGTAAGTTCCTGTGGCCTCAGTGTCCCTGGGCTCTTGCTTGGGCAGTGGCTGTGAGTGCTGGCTCTGTGGGCTCTCTTGGGCCGAGCTGAGGAAGAGGGAAGGGAAGGCGTGGAGCTCCCAGGCTGAGGGGATGGTACCACATGCAGATGCATCACTGTGTCACTTTGCTGTTGCTGCTGGAAGCTCTCTGACTGCTTCAACCACTGTTTGCAGGGAAAATACATCGCAAAATGCCTTCATACTCTCTGCACAAGATTCTTTGCGTAAATGTGATATCTTCTATTAGACCAACTCAACTCAATCATTGGAAAAATTGTTCTTTGCAAGCTTTGGGGCATAAACACCTTTCTTCAGGCACAGGGAGAGTGCCCCTCACTCCCTACACACAGCCGTGCTTGTGCCCCTCACTCCTGACCCACACACACCCCGGCCCTGCTGGTGCCTCTCGCTCCCCCCACAGCCCCACCAGCCCTGCGGGTGCCCATTCCTGACCCACATACCACTGGACCTGCCGGTGCCCCTCCCACAGCGCCTCTCCCACAGCGCCCTGCTCCCCCTATGTCTGAAGAAAGTTGTTTGTGCCCGGAAGCTGACAGAGAACATTTTTTCGAACTGTTTAGTTGATCTAATAAAAGAGATCACATCTACCCAAAGAATGTCCTAGTCTCTGCCAGTTTTCCCTCCTAAGCAGCTAAGGCCAATCTCTCCCAGGCTCATGGCCGAGGGGAGAACTTGCTTCTCAGCCTGGAAAGTAACAACCCTGCAAGGGTCTCTAATTGCTGCCCCCACCACCACCCCCTGCCGCAGAAACATCTAGCCTGGGGGAGAAGGGGCAGCCAGCTGGAGACCAGGTGCTCACTGGGGTAAGGGATCCCGGCTGCACTGCCTTTTTTTTTTTTTGCAAAAATACTTATTTCTATGTATAAACATATTTTATACAACGCACACAGGTATCCAAGTGTAGCTATACCCAGGGGCCAAGGGCTACAGTGCCCGGCGCTGTGTAGCTTGCAAGCCCCGAGCAGGGATGGCGGGAGCAGAGCTGGGGGCGGGGAGCGGAAGTTGTATCTCCATAAATCTGCATACCCAGAGTGCAGTGCGGCACGGTGGGGCCTCTCCCCCCCCCGCTTTCCCTTGCAGAGCCCCCAGGTGGGGACGAGGGCTGCGGGTGGGGGGTCGGGCAATGATTGCAGCCCGTGGGTGGGGTGTATGCCCACCTCTGCCCCAGCTCACCCTGACCCTGGTGCCAGGCACCCCCACCCGGGCAGCTCGGCCGGCAGTACTGGGGCATACTCTGGTTTCTCTTCAGATCGCATAAATCTTTCGCCTTTTACTAAAGATTTCCGTGGAGAGGAACAGTTATGAGTTTTGACCCAATTTTTTGAGGCCCCGCTTTGGCGGGGCTACCCATGTGTGTGCAAAGATAGAGTTGAGCTAGAGCAAGTCCAGATTGGGATCCTGCCACGGCTACTTTGTAGTGACCCGGAGTGTGGGGCGTGCCCTTTATTTACTGCATTGCCTGCAGGGCACCTTGGGCTGGTAGCAGGCCTAGAGCCAAGCGGGCAGCCCTGAGCTTTGTGCAGTTGCCTGGCGTCACAGGCTCTGGATCAGGCCTGGGGTAAAACCAGATGGAGCTGAGCCTCCCATCAGCCGTTGCAAACCCTGTAAACATCAGCAGCATTTGATTGTCCCATTGCCCCGAGTGTGGACGGAGGGGGGCGCTCCAGGCTCAGAGAAAACCCGCTCTATACCTGTGCACACCCACTGCACACACTTGCCCTGCATTGAAAAATAGCATATATGGCAAAGCGGCCAGTGTGCTAGACATGTTTTTTATTAGACCAGTGAAAGATGCCACTTCTAACACACCAACTGCAGGGGCTCGTACAGTAGTGCAGCTCCAAGTTTGATCCCCGATGCATGACAGAAACTTTGATTCTCTTTTCCTTCCAATCAGCTCCAGGCAGCAAAAACCTCTTAATGTAGCATAGAAAAAAGCAGAAATTCAGGTAGGAAAAACTCAGGACGGAAACAAGAAGCAAACATCACTTCCAGCACTAACTAGTCTGTCTTTTTGCACACTGAAGAACAGCCCCACTGCAGCAGGGCCTCAAAAATTGGCACAAGACTCACAGCTGCTTCTCTCCATGGAAATCTTTAGTAAAAGGCAAAAGAGTTATACAACTTGAAGAGAAACCAGAGCACAGCATTCAATATTTTACTGCATGATAAGCCTATATCGCATTAATAGCAAGTGTAGATGTGCCCACAGTCAAGTGGTTTGATTCGGTTTGAGTGCACATGCTCAGCCCCTGCAGATAGGCAGGGCCATTGTCTACACTAAGTACCCCCAAATCATCCCGTGCTTCAGACCATCCTGGCTAATTGCAGGTAAATGCCATCTGAGCCTCATGTATACAACTTTCCCACGCCTGTAGAGCCCCATATTAGACCGGTTGTTGTTCTAGCCTGTCTCCACAAGCTTTCCTCTGCCCCTCTGTCTGGGGCAGCTGTGACTTGCAGGCACACAGGACTTAGAACAGGTCTGGCCTGGGGCTGAGCCCTTTGTAAGCTACCAGCCCCTCCTTTCCCCTGTCCTGGCAGAGCTATGGGATGTCTGAATGGGCCTCTCCTCTTGGTGGCTCAGGGAAGATCTTGGTTCTCCCCATCTGTAAACAGCTCCCACAAGGGCTGGAGCAGAATCAGTCTTAAGTGAGAGCAGACAGGGAGAAGCAGGAGCAGTCTGCAGCGTGCTGGTGCGCAAACCAGTAGAGCCCAGACAGATGGGGACGTGGCGGTCTGACGGCTCCCCTGGGAGTTAGTGCTGTGCATACAAGTCCCTACGTCCCTTCTCTCCATAGCCATTCAGCTGATAAAGGATCTCATGTCCTACGACGTCCGTCCAGCGCTGCTGCAGGGCCTGGTGGCATTACTGAAACCACCAAGGAGGGAGGCTGTTAAGACACAAGCAAAAACCCTGGGAGGTAAAAGATCAAAACAATCTCTCTTTGCACGGACCTGCAGTTGGGGTGGGCTGGAAGGGAACTGGGTGGCAGCTTCTGGACTTGCTCAGGCCACTGATGGATCACTTGAGAACCGACTTCAGGACCTTTTCCTCCTCAATCACCAACCCGGCCTTGCAAACCCGCCCCGTTGCTCCTCTGCAGGAGTTCAATGCTTCACCTGATGTCCAGGCTGGGTAAGACACTGGCAGCCTCTCCCCCTTCCCCAACAGGATGTAGCAGCCCTTGTGTTACTGCAAAACCTTGGCTCCGGAAACCAGTGGGTTGATGAGAGAAAGAATGCGGGAGACATACCAATTTACGCTTAAGTCTGCATAAGTCACCATATTTACTGCGCAGTGCAGGCATGCATGTGTGGATGTGTGCCTGGACTGCGTAGTAATTTCAGTTACTGCGGAGTAAATGTGCATGTGTAGACGCACATAGATACATCAGGGTGAGGTTCTCAAGTACAGTCGTATCGAGATTTCTTTAGGCACATTGCTTTAAGCCCATGTATCCCCTTTGGCTGGGTGCTGCTGGTCTCATTCCCCAGGGTACTACTCACACTTACTGGCAGAATTGTGCTTCCAGACAAAATTTCCTCCCTGTCAAAAGTTCTCTCATGCAGATCCTGCCACATTTGACCTCACCGAGTCCTTGCCAATGTACGTACAGCAGGCTGCTGCAGCAAAGGCCATCGGGTAAGAGACGTCAGAGCAACACACAACAGGAGCGCGGCAGAGCACATTGAGACGCTGAGGTGGGCTCTTCTGGGGGACTGGTGGCAACGTGGTTGCCTGTAGGACCTGATGCCCCAGATGGGAAGGCAATGCTAGGTCTTAGTGGCAGATTTCTGTAGCGCACTCCCAGTTATCCAGGCCCATTTGCTGGGAAACCAAGTGGATAGCTGAACTCCTGGGGACAAGTGAGGAATGATACAGACTGATAGGAGGGGATGCCAAGCCACAGGTGCCATAGGCAGGGGCTGTGCCCTGGGCAGCAAGTGCCTGCACAACCTCTGCTAGAGGCAGCTCATGTCGCCCCCCCAGCAAGCTTCCATGTGGAAGGACTTTGGGGTCTGACTGGGCCGGCTTCCTCACAGTGTCCTAGCCAAGAGCTTGACCGACCTGGCCAAAGAACTGGTCCAGCTGAGAGTGGTGCACGGCCTCATGTGCGCTATGGGAAACCAGGATCACACCACCAGCCAGCGACAGGCCAGCATCACTCTGGCGGTGAGTGAGCGTCTCCTGTGCAGGAAGGGTCTGGAATGGGGCTCTGCTGAGCAGGGGGATGCCCTTTGCAGCAGGAGAAGCTGGAACAGTCAAGGCTTTCCTGGGGCTGGCAGGGAGCAGGGCCACTGCTTGCCCAGCAAGGAACAAGACCTTGCTTGCACTCTGCCACAGAGATGCCAAGAGGACCCTGATTCAGATGTGTAACTAAGCTGCTGTCTGCCCTGCTGCTGGTGTGTCGGGAAGAGTCAGATTCTCCCCACTCCAGCATTTGCCTACGAATCGTGACCTGGAGCTACAGTTGTGGGTCACCCAATAAAAGATAGCTCCAAGAGCCCCTTATTTCTCTTGTCCTGGGGTACACTGTCACCCTGTGCAGGGGCTGGCTTTGAGTGGAACAGGACAACACCCCATAGCCCGCCTCTCTTACCCCCGTACATTCACTTACCGCAGCCCTTCTGTTGCAGCACTTTGTCCAGACATTTCCCGTTGTGGAGGAGCACGTGCGGAAGGCGATAGGAGAGCCTCTGTTCCAGCTCTTTATGGTAAATCCGCTTCACTCCAGAGTGTCTGTGGGATGCTCTGTGTGTGTGTGTGTGTGTGTATATATATATATATATATATATATATATATATATATATAAAAAAAAGTGTGTGTGTGTGTGCGCACGTATATATATAAAACTGTATATGTAATCCTTCTGCTGAGCATCTGTCAGAGCAACAAGGGCCAGGTTCAATTTTGGGGATATTAAATATATTTTACCTTGGCTCAAGCCCCCATCCAGTCAACCTGGGAAACACTAGATAAATCACTAGGGTGTCCAGTAAAACCAACAACCCCTTTCTCGCACAGCAGTGTAAACACAACACTCAGATGTATTACAAAGCATAAAGAAAAAACAAAAGTTATCACTAATTCTGTTAAAACACTACAGACTAGAAAACAGAGTCTAGAGGTGGTACGCTCCGTGGGGGGTCTTTACCCGTGCCTAGGCAGGCTGGGACTTGGGACTCCCCAAAGGGCAGTTCTGAGCAGAGGCCACACTGGAGAGTCCAACAAGCTGCTCCGTGGGTCACTGCGCTGCAGGGAGCTGCTAGAGAGCCTGGGTCTGTCTGCGCTGCAAAGGGCCCCTCATTGCTCCCTGTGAAACCATAGCGCTGATCCTCACTTCCGCATGGTGGATTTGGGGGGTGGACGGCAATTCTGGACATACAACAAAAGAGCGCCAGGCCTATGGGGCTGTGACCTGAACATATAGTCAGGCTACACGGCTAGGCTGAGACCTAACAGCTCGGAAAGAACAAAAGGGGAACCAGGCCTGTTTTGGCTTGGGCTTGAATTCAAACTTGCACCCAAGCACAGCACTTGGTTGGGGCATGACCTGAAAAAGGGGCAAAAGAAAGCCCAGTCCTGTTTCACCAAGCCTGGACAGGGCAGCAAAAAGCCAACCAGACTTATACAGCACTGAGGCCTGGATATGCCACAAGAAATGCCAGGGCTTCCCCCTGGCCCAAGTCTGCCAGCCAGCGTATGGCTGGGGTCAGCCCCACACTGGTGGGCTGAAATGCAGCAGCTGTAAAACAGCTGCAAGGGCCCAGGCTTATGGTTGCAGCCTGGACATCCAGGCTGAGCTACACCACCCCGCTGAGACACTGCAACCCCCAACACAGGGACTGCATGTCTCCTGGTTGGTCTCCATTAAGGAATGATACTCTCGTGGCATCGTCCCACCCAAGGCCTGCACAGCCGGGAGCTGCCAGGACCCCAGTCCTGGGCAGGCTGCACTAGGGAGGATGGCGTCTTCCCACTCCAGGCCAGTGTGGCCAAAACGGCCAGCAAGACACGCAGCTGGGCTCAGCGACACAGCTCTGCTGGACCCAAAAGAAGCTGCAACAGCAACTAAAGCATGCCCGGCTCTCAGCCCTGGCCAGAACACGCCAGCAAGACTGCCAGGCTCCAACCTGGGTCAGTTTGCTGCAGGGATTGATGCCCCTCCATGGACTCATCCCACTCAAAACCCAGAAAACAAATGGGGAAAGAAGCGGGAGAGAACAGGGGTGTCTGGGACTGGTCCCTTTGCAGGGCTGAGGTGGATGGGGCATCCCCATGAAGTCACAACAGATCTGGCTCCTGGATCTGAACCTGCACGAGCATGGGGACAGGGATAACGCTCTCGTTTTCATGGCTGCACCAGGGAAAAGACGCACTGGAGACTCAAGACATTCGCACTTGGACAAACTGTCCTGCTCTAGTCAGCAGGACCAAACCTTTCCAGCTCCCGCCTTCCCTCTCGCTCTGCCAGACCCAGGATGTTGGCAGGTCTTGGTGTCTCATTAAAAGACACCTCGAACCCAGCGTGTCTTCACCTGTGTTCAATTAGCTGACTCCTTCCTTCTCCAGCCTGTGAGTTAGCACTGTGCTGGAGCCGTGCGTCCTTTCTGAAGCTGAGGCTATCTTGTCCTGACTCCGGCCCCATCTCCAGCACAGATGGAGACAGTCCAAGGCTTGTCTGGCCCCTCACTCCTGTTGTGACCCTGGTTGTCAGACCTGCAGGGTCTGCGGTGTCCGGGAGGAGGCCGGTGTGCAAGCCACTGGCTAGATCTGGGCTGCCCAGATTTCAAGCCAGACACTAAGTCAGCAGAAGCCTCCGGGTTTGGACCTTGAGACCTTGGCAGAGCCAGGCCAAGAGCGATGGCCTGCAGGGAACAATGCTAACAGGGCCTGCGAGGCCTCTCCCAGCACCGGTTGGTTTCATTCTGCACCAGTCCTCCTGGACCATTCCTCAAACAAGAGCACGGCCGTTACCTCCAGGCCTTTCACTGCCCTTTCCTTCCAGCTCTAACACCATGGGGGTCAGACATACTTGCTGCCTTTACCCAATCTTCCCTTTCTCACACAGGCGACGTATTTGCTATTCTCTGCTCAAACTGCAGCACTGAGTTCCAGATTTGTTAACATCTCTCGCTTCCTGGCCTGCCCTTAGCTCTTAAACTGCTGGGATGTGACATGCTCCAACACTGAGGTCCCTTTAGCTTGTGGGGCCTGGACAGGCTGCACCCCAGGCCATCTGCCAAGAGCTAGATGTCTCTGCTCAGTTGTGCTCAAGAGCTCTGCGCTATGCACACACGCAGTGCAGTGCTGTAGGTAAAGAGTTGACGGCTGCTGTGCCACGACACCTTCTGGCTTTTCAAGGCTGCTTTTATTGGGGCATTACTCCTCCTGCCCTGCCCATCCTGTGGCCTGGCTGGTTCCTCTCACCTGTATCTCTGCTCTTTGTCTTAGAGAGATCCCAAGAGCTTGTACATGAACATGGATGCAGTGCAGACCGACATCCTGGTATCCAACAAAGTGGACATCCCAGGGAGCCTGCTATGCCTGGAAAGGACGCAGCAGAAGGAAGGTGTGTGGGGAGGCACAGGGTCACTTGTTCCAAAGCTGACCCCGGTCCTTCTAGATATCAGGGCCAAACTCTGTCCCCTTTACACGGGTGCAAATCTGCATTCAGTCCTTTCTTCTGGATGGATCCCGACCAGCGCAAGGGAGAAAGAGTCAGACCATGAGCCAGGCAGGATCCAGGGCAGGGGTGGATGTTCTGACTTACAGAAGGGCTTGGGGTCGGCGGCGGGAGGGGTTACATGCACCTTGGGGCTCACGGGGCTCTTTTGGTCTTTCAGAAGCCTGGGAATGAGCAAACTACAGACCTGGACCAGCCCTGCTCAGCCCCCCTTGATCCCACCT